GCCAATTATCCCGAACCCTGCAGCCCAAGACACCGGTAGGCATACAGGGGAAAAAGAGAACTTTAGGATTAGCTTTGGATTCAATGATAAATAAAATAATTTATTTTGAACTTATAATCTTTGTTACTCTTGGCAAACTGCAGATCTTTTTTGTCAGTCTGTAATAGGTCTTAGGTTGTACTGTAGTTGCATATATTATCATTTATCATGTTCCCTCACAGTTGCTTTAACAATCTTTATTGGTGGCTATAATGACATGGGGAAATCACCTATCTTCTACTTTTTCACTTATTTGGTCAAAATATTATATTAATAGGGGTATTACTAATATTTGTGTGATTTTTTGGCGGCATTGTTATGCAAAACGATGTTATTATTTGGAGGTACAAACTGAAGTAGTAAGAGGGAATGCCACAGTATGTGTAATTCACTTATAGACATTTCATCAAAGCATAGATAAAGCAAAATTAAGAATGCTGTTGAATCTGGGTGTAAAGTATATTGGATTTTTTGCATTCTTTTTTATTGAAGTATAGTCAGTTTACAATGATGTGTCAGTTTCTGGTGTACAGCATAATGTTTCTACCATATATATACACATATATTAGTTTAAAGTATAATGACTTTTATTGCACTATTACCTTTGAAAATTTTCATCATAAAGGATAAAAGTGCTACCTCTCCATATTCAGTAGTAGGGTACCTTATTTGCTTTTTGTTACATAATGGTTTTTCAAGAATTCACTTTATGACAAAATAAAAATGACCCCCATTGAAAATTACTGATTTCTTAAGTAATTTTCCTTTTTTGTTGTCATTGATGCTGTTTTGGGGCAGGAGTCTTACAATGTTCTGGGATTTGATATTGCTATTCTTGTTTTCTTTTATTATACCACATTTGCTAGTTTAAATTTGTATTATTTTATATTGTTTATTATGTAACTAGTAGGTATCATCCTGAGTAAAATACTCCTCCATCAGAAGAGTAAAGATAAAAACTTCTTAAGAAATTGAAATGAAAATTCAAACTGTTAAAGAAATGAATTAGGTTCACTTTTTTATTTATTTTTCAAAGTAAATATAAAAAATCCTTAATACTTTGTGACATCTCCCACATATCCACAAATAATTAATGGATCTGTATTAGTGATTTATAAATGCCTCATAGTGTTCCAAATTATGTCTCCAATCTATAAGTGGACAGACAGTTCAACAGAAATTTTGGTAACTGGAGTGTAGTGTGGATAGAGCCAGTGTGCATACACATTTTTGTAATTTCTCTCATAAAAAATTTGTAGGCTAAATGATGTAGTAAAATGCAGTTTTGCTTGATATTGTGAAATGGGTGAAAGAAACTCCAGTTTCCCTAAGAATTTTTTTCTTTGCTTCATGCAATTTTTACTGGTTTTGTCTTGCAACAGATATTGACTAGTTGTGAGAATTTTATTTAAATAGACATTTAGTGAAAAAGAATGTTTGGGCCCTCTTTATCTGTCAGTCATAAGAAGCAAATCTTATGCATAAGAATAAGTAGATAAGTACAAAATATCCTATTTGAATAATTTGGGAACAAACTTGTAGACTACCTGATAGAATAGAATCCACAGCCAGATCCTTTTGTATAAGAAAACATGGTCATGGTTGAAGAGGTATCAAAATCACTGGCAGGTGGGGTTGGGACAGACTGATTACTTAGCAATGTTACTGGGAAAATTGGATTCCTTTATAAAGATACAAAATTCTTATCTCATGCCACATAAAAATAAACTTTATATGGATTTAAGAGGTGAATTTGAAATATTTTAGTTGGAAAAAATTGTGATAAATCTCAGTAAAAATATCTTTATGACTTTAGTATTGGTTTCAGTTTCTTAAACAAGGTTTTATAAGTGCAAGTAATAAAGATAAAAATTGACAAATAGTACTACCTCAAAACTAGAGGATAGCCCAGTCAAGCTAGCAGATGACAGACAGGAGGTGCTACTTGCAGCATTATAACTGAGAAGGATGAATATTAAGATTATTCAAATAACTCTTGGAGATCAGCAAAAATTAAGAAGTCAGGAGAGCCAATAGGATTTTTTTAAAAGGACAAAAAGGAAACGTAATTCAAAAAGGAAAGGTAATTCAAGAAGGGGAAAAATAGAATGTCTGAAAAAAACATGAAATGATGGTCAAACTCATTAGTTGGTGATACACAAGATAAAATAAGACACCAATTTATACCCAACGAATTAGTAAAGATGAGAAATTTGGATAAAATCAAGTGGTACCCAAAGGAAATTGCATATACAAACCATTTTGAGGGAGTTTCAGTAGTATTTAGTATGTACATATTCTGTGACCCAGCAATTCTACTTTGGGGTATATAAGCCATAAAATTCTTACACATATGCATGAGAATGCTCATCTTGGGAAAACAGAGAATAGGAGTCTATGTATAGATTCATTGGTAAAGCAATTGATAAATGAGAAAACAGGTCTGTGAAGGACTACTATGCAGTGATCAAAAGGAGTGAACTAGGTGTACAACCACATGGATAAATTCCAAATGTTTAAAAGGAAGAAAGAGACTGAGATTTATAGTACAGTGCCTATATATATATATCCATAAAATGCATAATATCATACATGTAGAAATATACAAATATATAAACAAACATGTTGGAAGTAAAGAAGGAACATATGTAAGAAATAAAATGTGTATTTCTACATAGGGGTTCAGAGAGAAGTATGAGCTTTATCAGTGTCAATGGCAGAAACTGTTTCTTCCAAGAGATTGTTTAAATTGATTACAGCATTATAGAGTTGATTTAGTACTGATCAACTGAAATTGCTTTAAAAATACATCTTACTTCTGTCTTCTCAAGAAGATCAATTGCCCATACCCCATGAAAGCTAAGAATTTACTTGTGATTTTGAGACACAGCAATGTCCTTGAGATTGTACATTTTTAATAAGGGTCATTTAGATTACGTAGACCACAGTTCCACTGGAAAAAAATTAGCTAATAAGACACTAATATACTGTCAGGTCACAGACAATGTTTAAAGGTAACTCAAGAGAGATAAATTAGCCCCAAATCTACTTTTTCCCTGAGAACATGTGGAATCCTGGGAAATGTGAACCTCTATTTTGATGGTGTATATGGGGAAGGAAATCAAAGCCTAACAAAATGAGAAGCTGATAGAAGACCTTCACATTAATAAATATAGATTCCTAAGTACTACACCTTTAGGGTAAAAATAAACTGGAAATGAATGAGCCCTTGTGTTGAATTTCAGCTTTGTACTTGATTTTTAGCACTGAACTTGATTTAAGGTGGTCATTGACAGGTAGTACTCCCACATCCTGAGAGAAACAAATATAACCTTCTATGAAAGAAGGCTTATTCATCTTAAGTATAGAATTATTCATATAATTTTATGTTCTTAACCTGAACATAGATAATTACATGCACAAGGAAATAAGACACCATGACTGACAGCCAGCAGAAAACAAAGAACACAGAAATAAACTGGCAAACACTTCAAATATTTTAATTAACAGTCACAGTCTATAATGTGCTAACAAATTTAACCAAAATAAAAATTATACTTGAAAATATACAGGGAATGAGAAATAATAAAATGTGAAATATTAGAAAAGAACCAAACAGAATTCTTAGAACTGAAAAAATATGAAAATCAAAATTTGTAATAAAAAACTAGATGCAACCAAATAAAGAATTTGTAGAGTGAAAGAGCAGAATGTAATTTATTCTTCATGCAGCTCAGAGAGTTAATAAGATGAAAAATACAGAGGAAATGGTTAGAAACAGAAAACAGAGTAAAAATATTTGACATTTATTTAACCAGAATTCCAGGAGAGATGATAAAGATTGGATCAGTAGCAATATTTGAAAAAATAATGGCTGGAAAGTGTCCAAAATTGATAAAAGCATCAATGCAGAGATTCAAGAGACCCAAATAAACCTAAAAGGATAAATAAAAGATAACCATACCTAGAAACATCATTGTGAAATATCAGAAGGACAAGGAGAAATCTTTTTATTAAAAAAAAAGATAAGTCATAGAAAAAGACATCTAATCTTTAAACATATGACAGACTGAAAGCTATGTTCCATGTTGACAATTTCTCAACAGTAGCAATGGAAACTAAAAGAAAGTAATATAGCTTCAATGTGCTGAAAGAAATTAGCAAACATTCCATCCTAAATAGTCTTTGCACATGAGTCATCAGATGAGACAAATCAACTGGATGTCAGTTTGATTTTTAAATCAATCAAGATCATGGGAGAAAAGTGGTGTAAAGACATTTTTCAAATATAACTTAAAGTTTTCCTCTATCCATCCCTCACCACAATTCTGAGTCCAGGAGTCTGACATACTCTGTTTCTAGCCTTCTTCATCTCTAGTGACAGCACTTCTACTCTAGTCTAATAGACCTATGATCATGATCTCTTTATGGAGATGGTAGTCTCTTAGAGCTGTATCTCTGAAATCACAACTTTAAACATACTTCTCTTAATCTACAACTTACATTCTTTCTAAAAGGGCTTCAGTCACCACTTATACCAATAAATCCCAATTTGTCTCTGCAGCTCAAACCTCTTTTCTCAATTTATGTAATATATGATCATTTACATAACTGCTTATATAGACAGATGCTGTATGGACATCTCAAACTCAACATGTTTTAAATTAAATATTTATCTTCCTCAAAATCAAACATCTTTTTCAGCTATATACATGTTCCTCTCTTCTCTTCCCATGTTTATTCTGTTAATAGCACCAGCACTCACTCAGTTCCCAAAGCCTGAAAAAAACACGTTTATTTTCACTTCTTATTCTACTCCCTCTATGTCTAATCTATCACCACATTTTGTGTATTTTATCTTTATC